GCAGCCGGCCGCCCTCCCCTCCTGCCCGTCCTCCTCCTCCTCCTGCTCGTCCTCGTGCTCCTCCTGCTCGTCCTCTTTCTCCTGCTCCTCCTCCTCCTCCTCCTCCTCTTTCTCCTGCTCCTCCTCCTCCTCCTCCTCCTCCTCCTCCTCTTCCTCCTGCTCGTCCTCGTTATCGTCCTCATCGTCTTGCTCGTCCTCTTCCTCCTGGTGCTCTCTCCTCCTCCTCCTCCTCCTCCTCCTCCTCCTCCTCCTGGTGGTCCTCGTTCTCCTCCTCCTGGTGCTCTCCCCCCCCCTCCTCCTCCTCGTCCTCCTCCTCCTCCTCCTCCTCGTCCTCCTCCTCCTCTTCCTCCTCCTCCTCCTCCTCCTCCTCCTCCTCCTGGTAGTCCTCCCCCTCCCCTCCTCCTCCTCCTCCTCCTCCTCTTCCTGGTCGTCCTCGTTCTCGTCCTCCTCGTCTTGCTCGTCCTCCTCCTCCTGGTGTTCTCTCCTCCTCCTCCTCCTCCTCCTCCTCCTCCTCCTCCTCCTCCTGGTGGTCCTCGTTCTCCTCCTCCTGGTGCTCTCCCCCCCCCTCCTCCTCCTCGTCCTCCTCCTCCTCCTCCTCCTCGTCCTCCTCCTCCTCTTCCTCCTCCTCCTCCTCCTCCTCCTCCTCCTCCTCCTGGTAGTCCTCCCCCTCCCCTCCTCCTCCTCCTCCTCCTCCTCCTCCTCCTCCTCCTCCTGGTCGTCCTCCTCCTCCTGGTCGTCCTCCTCCTCCTGCTCGTCTCCTCCTCCTCCTGCTCGTCCTTCTTCTCCTGCTCCTCCTGCTCCTCGTCCTGCTCCTGCTCGTCCTCGTCCTCCTGGTCTTGCTCGTCCTCCTCCTCGTCGTGCTCTTGCCCCTGCTGAAAATGTGGCCCAGGAATGGGAGTTCTGGGAAGTCGAAGAGCACGAAGTTGCCTACAGTTGGCTACGGGCATTCAAAATGTGGCCCGGGAATGGAGTTCTGGGAACTCGAAGAGCACGAAGTGGCCTACAGTTGGCTCCGGGCATTCAAAATGTGGCCCGGGAATGGAGTTCTGGGAACTCGAAGAGCACGAAGTGGCCTACAGTTGGCTCCGGGCATTCAAAATGTGGCCCGGGAATGGAGTTCTGGGGACTCGAAGACCACGAAGTGGCCTACAGTTGGCTCCGGGCATTCAAAATGTGGCCCGGGAATGGAGTTTTGCCCGGGAATGGAGTTCTGGGAAGTCGAAGAGCACGAAGTGGCCTACAGTTGGCTCCGGGCATTCAGAATGTGGCCCGGGAATGGAGTTCTGGGAAGTCGAAGAGCACGAAGTGCGCGACTGTTGGCTTAAAACGATTTCTGCGGCACCCTGTCCGGCACCCGCCCAGACCCCCCTGTGGAGTCATCTGCTGCTCCCTTTTGACACCAGTAGAAACCTATCAGAATTATCCCGGCAAAGCAACCTAACAGCGATGTGTAGAAGCATATATGAAAGCATTCCCCTTAAGATTCAGACGAAAATCCAGTTGTAGAATTCTGCTGTTCTCGCAGTCGTAGTCGCATTCGCGATGACAGTCGCAGCGGCAACGGCAGTCGCAGTCACAGCCTCAGCCTCAGCCTGCCTCAGCCTCAGCCTCAGCCTCCTCAGCCTCAGCCTGCCTCAGCCTCAGCCTCAGCCTGCTTCAGCCTCAGCCTCAGTCTGCCTTCAGCCTCGGCCTCAGCCTCAGCCTGCCTCAGCCTCAGCCTGCTTCAGCCTCAGCCTCAGCCTCAGCCTGCCTCAGCATCAGCCTGCTTCAGCCTCAGCCTCAGCCTGCCTCAGCCTCAGCCTCAGTTGCTTCAGCCTCAGCCTCAGTCTGCCTTCAGCCTCGGCCTCAGCCTCAGCCTGCCTCAGCCTCAGCCTGCCTCGGCCGCAGCATCAGCCTGCCTCAGCATTCAAAATGTGGCCCAGGAATGGAGTTCTGGGAACTAGAAGAACACGAAGTGGCCTACAGTTGGCTCCGGGCATTCAAAATCATGCCCAGGAATGGAATTCTGGGAACTTGAAGAGCACGAAGTGGCCTACAGTTGGCTCCAGGCATACAAAATGTGGCCCGGGAATGGAGTTCTGGGAATCGAAGAGCACGAAGTGGCCTACAGTTGGCTCCGGGCATTCAAAATGTGGCCCGGGAGTGGTGTTCTGGGGAATCGAAAAGCACGAAGTGGCTTACAGTGGGCTCCGGGCATGCAAAATGTGGCCCGGGAATGGAGTTCTGGGGACTCGAAGAGCACGAAGTGGCCTACAGTTGGCTCCGGGCATTCAAAATGTGGCCCGGGAATGGAGTTCTGGGAAGTCGAAGAGCACGAAGTGGCCTACAGTTGGCTCCGGGCATTCAGAATGTGGCCCGGGAATGGAGTTCTGGGAGGTCGAAGAGCACGAAGTGTATGACTGTTGGCTTAAAACGACTTCTGCGGCACCCTGTCCGGCACCCGCCCAGACCCCCCTGTGGAGTCATCTGCTGCTCTCTTGTGAGACTATAGAAACCTATCAGTCTTCGCTGTTAGGTAACAAGCTGTTAGGTAAATTATCCCGGCAAAGCAACCTAACAGCGATGTGTAGGAGCATATCTGGAAGCATTCCCCTTAATATTCAGATGAGAATCCAGTTGTAGAATTCTGCTGTTCTCGCAGTCGTAGTCGCATTCGCGATGACAGTCGCAGTGGCAACGGCAGTCGCAGTCACAGCCTCAGCCTGCCTCAGCCTCAGCCTCAGCCTGCCTCAGCCTCAGCCTTCAGCCTGCTTCAGCCTCAGTCTCAGTCTGCCTTCAGCCTCGGCGTCAGCCTCAGGCTGTCTCAGCCTCAGCCTGCATCAGCCTCAGCCTCAGCCTCAGCCTGCCTCAGCATCAGCCTGCCTCAGCCTCAGCCTCAGCCTGCCTCAGCCTCAGCCTCAGCCTGCTTCAGCCTCAGCCTCAGTCTGCCTTCAGCCTCGGCCTCAGCCTCAGCCTGCCTCAGCCTCAGCCTGCCTCAGCCTCAGCATCAGCCTGCCTCAGCATTCAAAATGTGGCCCGGGAATGGAGTTCTGGGAACTTCGAAGAACACGAAGTGGCCTACAGTTGGCTCCGGGCATTCAAAATCATGCCCAGGAATGGAGTTCTGGGAACTCGAAGACCACGAAGTGGCCTACAGTTGGCTCTGGGCATCCAAAATGTGGCCCGAGAGTGGAGTTCTGGGACCTCGAAGACACGAAGTGGCCTACAGTTGGCCCCGGGCATCCAAAATGTGGCCCGGGAATGGAGTTCTGGGAAGTCGAAGAGCACGAAGTGGCCTACAGTTGGCTCCGGGCATTCAAAATGTGGCCCGGGAATGGAGTTCTGGGGACTCGAAGACCACGAAGTGGCCTACAGTTGGCTCCGGGCATTCAAAATGTGGCCCGGGAATGGAGTTCTGGGGACTCGAAGAGCACGAAGTGGCCTACAGTTGGCTCCGGGCATTCAGAATGTGGCCCGGGAGTGGAGTTCTGGGAGGTCGAAGAGCACGAAGTGTGCGACTGTTTGCTTAAAACGACTTTTGCGGCACCCTGTCCGGCACCCGCCCAGACCCCCCTGTGGAGTCATCTGCTGCTCTCTTTTGACCCCACTAGAAACCTATCAGAACAAGCTGTTCGGTAAAAAGAGTTGCGTTCCATTTTCGGCGCCGGCTTGCCAGGTCATGGTTCGAGGGGGGAGAATCCTCAGACGTTCTGGAAAAGCCTCCATAAGAAGGACCAGCAGCCACGTTATCCCGAGCTGTTTTGTGTGCGCTGGCTCAGCGCGCGCTTTTTGAGCTTGGGCAGGTGTCTGAGGGCTTCTGCTGGAGCTTTGAGCGATGTCGGTCTCGGGCTCGTCCGGCCCTTCCTGGGCGTTCCTGGGCGCATCGCTGACAACCTGGGGGGCTCCGTCGTTTCGGCAAGTCAATGGTTTTCTGGAACCGAACGACTTTCTCCAGGCTCGGCCCGCGGATATCGACCTGCAGTTCTTGGCTCTAGGTGACAGGATCGCTGGAGCCCTCCAGCGCACGACGGGCCGCTACCAGGAGATAGGCCGCAAGGACTGGAAGTCATGGCTGACGTTCAGGCTGGGCCAGGGGGGGAAGCGAGCTCACAGCGTGCTTCGGGGCCCGTCGGCTTGGAAGCCGACGTCCACGCTGTCCGCGGGGGGCTGCGTTGCGTCGGACCCTCTGTCGGGTTACGGGGAGGCCTCCAAAGGTCCTCGGGATTCGGCCCCGAGGGGGCTGCACGAGCCGCTTCCCCTCTTGGGCCCTGACACGCTCAGGGATTTCTCTAGGCGTTACAAGGCGACCAGCGCTATAGCCGTGGGCGGCTTCCACATGCGTTACTTCTCGCTCATTTGCGACGACGGCCTCCGAGTGGTTGCCATCCTTATTTTACTTCATGGAACGTTTGGGGGCCCTGCCCTCACAGCTCCAGGCTATGATCATTGCTTTACTCCCCAGGGCTGTCGGAGGTTGGCGACCAATCGGGGTCTTCGGAGGATTGCACAGGCTCTGGGGCAAAGCGCGCAGGCCGATCGCCTTGCAGTGGGAGCTCGACCACGAGCGCCAGTTTTTTGCTGCGGGGCACCACAGAGGCGCCCTGGACGTGGTCTGGAGGCAAGCACATAGGGCTGAGATGGGTACTGCTGAAGGGGAGGAGGCGGCTAGCATTCTGTGGGATATGCACAAATATTACGAACTGCTCAATTTGCGCAGGCTCGAGCTTTGTGCTTTAAGGCTGGGTCTCCCACTGGGGGCCCTCTGTCTCACTTTGGCTGCCTATCGAGCTCCTATGATCGTTTTCCAAACTTAATTGATCGCGTCTCGGGGTGGTGTGGTGGGGTGGGCCGTGTAAGATAGTAGTGCAGGTTATATCCCTCGCCCTGCCCTGCCTGTCTTTCGTGTCCGCTCAAGCTTTTTCTGGCTCGAGATCGTTCGAGCCAGGAGCGCGCGCTCGCCCTTCTGCCCCACCAGCGTGGGTGCTCGCGGCGCGGGCGCTGATCGTCGGCACCGCGGCGAGGCGGTGGTGGCTCGCCAGTGCTGCCTTGCTCTCGTACATCGGGGACTGGGGGGTCCTCGACTCTGTCCTTTCGAAGCCGCTCGTTGAGCCCGAGGACGACGCGTCCCTGAGGTACACGAGAGAGTCCGAGCGGCTCAGCTTCCACGACTATCTGCGGTTGCACATGTCCAGCGTGACGCGATGGAGCCGCTTCTATCGGACGACTGGCCCTCAGCGGGGGCAGGTGGTCCTCCTGGTGATGCGAATGTACCCCAAGAAGAAGAACGACACAAGGTGGATCTACGTGAAGCCGGACCGCGCGCTCGGCGTGGGCGACATCAAGGACCGGGCGAAGATGCCAAGTCGTCGACAGCCACGCTGGGACTACGAGGCGTTCCCGACCCTCACGGCCCCCGAGAAGGCGGACATCTTGGAGAAGGCCAAGGAGAAGCAGCTCGAGGCCGAGCTGTATCTGTCCAACATCCGCGGCTACGTTGCCTCGCTGTCCTGGTTTCGCTCTGGTCTGGTTGGCGCATGGAGCACATGGAACTGGGGGTCGACGGCGGGCGCCGCTTTCTTTTTCTGGAGGGTGGCGGTCTACTGCAACCTGTGGCAGTGGATGCGCTGGTCCGTGGAGAAGCTCGAGGACGGCCACAACATGATACTCGATATCGACGATTTCCGATGATACCTGCACGACCTCTACCAGGACGGCAAGCTCGAGATTCCCATCATGATCTTCGCCGCGGTGGTGGCTCTTGGGCCAAGTCTCCTGCGATGCTGCAGGCAGCGCCCCTCCCCTCTGCTCGCGGGGGCCTCGCCTCCAGTGAGCGACGTGGACAGCGACGGGGAGGCGGGCCACTCGGTGGCGGGGTCGTCGGACGAGTCCGAGCCCGCCAAGGACATGCAGGAGATGAAGGCCACGATGAGCAACCTGCTCGACGAGATCACCAAATCAAGGTCGGAGTCGCCACGTGCCCCCACGAGTCGGAGTGCCTCATCGGCCGCGTCCCCTGGAGAGAGCAGTCACGCCAGCTGGGAGAGAGTCCCCAGTGTCAACGCGGACTCCAGCATGGACATGCATGTGGACAGGATGATCGACCGGCTGAAGCGTTTCGAGGACGCGATCAATGCGGACAAGGCCCCTCCGGGATGCAAGCCCTTGCAGGGCGCCTCATCCACGTCGGCCACGGCGGGATCTACGACGTGCCCCACCATCGACCTGGGGACGAAGGAGACGCTGGAGGGCGCGGGGGTGAGCCTCGAGCCCTTGCGGGAAGCACTCCGGGACCCCAGGGAGAGGTTGCTGGCCGACCTCTCGAAGATCGATGCGCCGCCCACCTTCGCCCTCCCAGCGGGCCTCACCTCCCGCGTGGCCCCCGAGCTGCTGGTCCAGACCTACGGGAAGTACGGCAGCATGGTGAAGTTCGCGACGGACTGGGTTCGCCTCAAGGAGCTGAATCGCAACCGCATCGGCCACGAGATGATGCTGCGCTGCGTGACGCTGGACCGGATGCTGGAGGCCTCGCCCGAGTTCATCCAGACGGCGGGCTGCGAGATCCTACGCGCACGAGTTTATGCTCTGAAGCGGGCGTTCAAGGACGTGGCGTGCATCAACGACTGGAAGCAGCCCCGGGGCAGCGGGGCCAACAAGTGGAAGTCCAAGGTGCGCTGGGACCTCGCGAGCGAGCTGGACTGGAGATCTCTCACGGAGGGCGAGGAGGCGCCCCCAGGCGTGGAGCGCGACTTGACGGCCAGGCTGCAGCAGAAGGCTCTCTTCCAGAAGTATCTGCAGAAGGGGGGCTCGGACGCAGTGAAGGAGGAGGACGAGTAGACGTTGGAGAAACTCTCCCTGTCTGTGGTGCCTCGCGGGGCTCCCCGCGCTTGAGGGGGGGGCTGGCGGTTTGCCGTTCCGTTCGCCCTGACGACGGCCGCTCTGGTGGGCTTGCTCCCCCGATAGCTACGGTGACGCTCCTGCTTGTCGCGGCGACCTTTTCGCGTGGCCCTGCGCCCCTCGGGAGGCGACGCCATGCCCGCTTTTCTCCATCCACGCACTTCTCCATCGTCTACCTCGACGGCGGCCGCAGGCGCGCCTCCCGAAGCCGTTCCTCGAGACCGAGACCTTCTGCCGGATTTGCCGCTGCTACCGTGGTCGGTGGTGGTGGGCCGCGCGGGGCCGATGCATCATGGCACGCTGAGACATGCGCGAGCTCTGGCCAACGGGCTGATCCGATCCATGCACCACTTCGCGCGGGGCACGGTCGGAGCGGCCGAGGGGGCTGGGCCGTCGGCTGCGTGGGAGCGGGCAACGCCGCTCCAGAGGGCTACTTCGAGGAGGTTACTGGAGGCGCGGCTAGCTTGGGGCAGCCAGGTGGCCGCGATCAAGGAAGACGAGGACGCCGCCCTTCGGCGCGTCATGGCCGGTCGGGCCTCGCCATACTCAGGCGATGGGGCTACGGTTGCCTTGGGAAAGGATTCAAAGGGAAGGGAGATGCTACCAAAGGGCGCGATGTGCTCCGTCGACGTGGAGGAACTGGCTCTTCCGCCGCCAGGGACCATCCCTGCCAAGCTCGTGGACATCTGCCCGCTGGCCGCCGAGTACTTCTCCGACGTCGCGGGGGGGATGCTACGCGAGCCCAGCAAGGCCATGGACGAGGAGCTGAAGGGCCAGAAGGTCTACCGAGATCCGTCTCTCCGCTCGAGGGCGTCGCGTCTCCGCCTAGCCGAGAGGCTTTGGGATGCGGGGGTGCTCGGGACCACCGACGAGATGGTCGAGGGGGTCTCGCTCTTCGGAGTCATCAAGAAGTACCTGCAGGAGGAGGGGGACCCCTTCAGCCCCGCCAGGCGCCAGGTGCGCGCCATCTGGGACCAGAGGCGGGCCAACCTCCGCTGGCAGAGGCCCCCGTACGTGCCCCTCGGCAGCCCCGCGACCTTCGCTCGCGTGGACCTCTCCAACCTGGGCGAGAGGGACGTGGTCTACACTGGCGTGGGCGACATCCCAGACATGTTCTATCGTTTGGAGACGCCGCCCGATGTCTGGCCCTACTTTGTCTTGGAGGAGGTGCCAGTCCACGAGTTCGTCGAGTGCATGAGGACCAAAGGGCGGGACTGCGTCACCCTCGATGGCGGGCCCTTCCTGGCGCTGAAGGTCCTGGTCATGGGCTGGTCGTGGGCCCCGTTCTTGGCCCACTCTACGTTGCTGGCCTGCATGGCGCGCGGGCTCGGGGAGGACTCCGTCGGGGCGCGCCTGGTCTACGGGGCTCCGACGCCTCAACTGACCGGGCCCGAGGGGTTCGAGTCGGTGAACTGGGCATACATGGACGACTACGGAGTCATGGCCACGTCCGGCAGCGTGCAGCAGCCAGTGAGCGAGGTCGTGAGCGGACTGACGGCCCGAGTCAAGCACTACTTGAGGCAGGTCGGGCTCCCCGTCCACAAGGAGTCCGAGGGCGAGGGGCTCGAGTCGCTGGGGGCGGTCATCCGAGGCCGACCCTACTCCGTTTCAGCAGAGACCGACCGCACCTGCGGCCTGGCTCTGGTGACGCTGCGGCTGGTAGAGCGGACGTACTGGGCCGCGGAGCTCCTCGAGCGCGTCGTGGGGTTGTGGGCGTGGGCGGCCATCTTCCAGCGCACGGGCCTTGCCATCTTCGACAAGGTGTACCACGAGATGAGACGTCCCGAGACCGCCAAGACGCCGCTCCGACTGACGGATGCGGCGAGGTGGGAGCTGACTACGATGGCGTACTGCGCACCCCTCTTACGTACAGATCTCGAAGCTCCGTGGCTCTCGCAGGTGTTCATGACGGGCTCCAGCGACGCGGGCTGCGGAGTGGCGGTCACCGACGCCTCGCTGGAGGAGATCAGGAAGGACGCCCGTTACAGCGAGATGAGGGGATGGACGATCGCCACCGAGGACATCTACACAGCCCAGGAGGAGGACGCCTGGGCCCCCCATGCTGGGGGGTGTGCCTACGACGTCGACGAGCTCATCGAGGCCTCGACTGCACCGCCGCCGCGGGTAAGTCGGAGGGTCTACCGGGTGCTGTACCTCTTCGCGGGCAGGCGCCGGGAGGGGGATCTAGAGGAGGCCATCCACTCGCGGGCGGAGCTCGACGGCTACGAGGTCGAGGTCTGGTCCATCGACGCGGTGATCAACCCGAAGCACGACCTCACCAACGACGAGTTCGTCAGCCTGATCCTGAGCCTGGCGCGCGACGGGTACCTCCACGCAGTGATCGCCTCGCCCCCGTGCTCCACTTGGAGTCGGGCCCGCTTCCTGGGGAGGGGGCCCAGGCCCTTGCGGGCACGCCTCGAGCCTTGGGGGCGGAGCGACATGTCATTCACAGCCTTCGAGCGCCTCCGCCTGGACCTGGGGTCGCGCCTGTTGCTGTCGGCCATGCAGGCGGTCCGCGAGGTATGTCGAGCTGGAGGCCTGGGCTTGATGGAGCACCCTGCGGACCCAGAGGAGGACCCATACCCGTCAATCTGGAACCTACCCGAGATGGCATGCCTCCTCGAGGAGACGGGCGGGAAGATCAATCGGATCGACCAGTGCCGCTACGGAGCCCCATCGGTGAAGCCGACCATGATTGGCATTTTCGGGTTCTACGACGACACACTGGACTTCGCCGCGGACCGTCTCCGCTTGAGGTGCAACCACCGAGGGAGGCATCAGACAGTACTCAAGGGACGGGCGGAGCGAGGCCGTCCCGATTTCTGCGCCGCCTCCGCCCAGGCGTACCAGCCGCCGCTGTGCGCCGCGCTGGCGGAGGTGATCATCGAGGCTTCCGCCCGCATGACGAGGGAGATGAGTGGCCCCGATCCAACGGGCTCGCGCGTGTCTCCATTTACTTCGTCCTTCGGCCCGCCGAGGCCGGGAAGGGCGAGGATCGAGGTGAGGCGGGGCGATCGAGTCAGAGTCCCCCCGGTGTCCCCCGCTTGGATGCCGATCGCGAGATGGCGGCCGCTCTACTTCGGGAGGTGGAGGATCACGGAGCACACGAACATCAACGAGACGCGGGCCGTGGTGGGCCTGCTGCGACACCTGGCCAGATCATCACGGATGTGGAGGCGGAAGGTCCTGATCCTCACAGACAGCATGGTAGCTCTGGGGGCCCTGGGCAAGGGCCGCTCGAGCTCACCAGCCCTGCTGCGCTTGTGCCGCCAGGCGGCGGCGATCACCGTGAGCTTCGCGATCCAGGGGTACTGCCGCTACGCCCCGTCGGAGCTGAACGTCGCCGACGGCCTCTCTCGGGGGGGCTTCCTCGGCGCGGCGCCCGAGACGGTAGCAGCTCGCAGCGAACGACACCCCGCTCCAACGGACAGCCGAGGTCACGATCTACGCGACCTGGGCCGCGCCTGTACGGGATGCGCTGGTGGATAGCCGCCATGGCATTGGAGGCAGTCCACCCTGCTGGAGCGGTTCGGCCGAAGCCACCCAGGGCGGGAGACATCCCCCTGCAGAAGCGAGGGCCACGTGCGTGGGATAACTACGAGAAGGAGCCGCACCTGGGCATCAGCGAGGGCGGCTTCACAAGGCTGCTCACCCACTCCGTGGCGGACGTCACCGCGGCGCAGTGGGCCCCGAAGGTTCGAGACTTTCTCAGCCACTGCGTCGACAAGGGTTGGGGGCTGCGGCCCGCGAACGCCGTGGACCACGCCCTGGCCGACTACATGGACATGAAGTGCTACAAGGACCGGCTCCGTCCTACATGGGGGTCGATCGTCTTGTTTGGGCTGCTGGTGATTTGGCCTGAGCTGAGGAACCAGCTTCCCCTGGCCTTGCGAAGCCTGAAGAGCTGGCAGAGGCTGGTTATCTTTGTGGAAGGGGGTCCTCTGCCTGAGGAAGCCGTCTTCGCCATCGCCATCTACTTCTTCGAGGCGGGGCTCCTGGATGAAGCCATCTGGACCCTGGTGCAGTACGACGTCTACGGGCGGGAGCAGGACATGGAGATGCTACGCGAGGCCGACATCATCTGGGATGGCCGATGCGTGGGCCTCCTGTTTGGCATCTCGGCCCGAGGCGAGGAGGGCAAGACGGGCGGCAACCAGGGGGTCGTCATCCGCCGCGGCGCGGTCGCGAGCCTCACCCTGGCCCTGAAGGACGTCAAGAAGAATGTCGCGGGGCCCATCTTCGGCCCCAAGCAGGCAGGCTTCCGCAAAGAGTGGCACCGCGCATGTCGCTCGCTTGGGATGCCATGGGCGCCGCCTCCGCACGGGCTCCGCCACTCGGGGCCCAGCGAGGACGTGGCCCGAGGACGGGCCAGCCTGGAGCAGGTGCGGAGGCGGGGCAGGTGGAAGGCATTGTCCAGCGTCCAACGGTACTCTAAGACGTTCGCCCTCACGCAGTTCCGTGCAAAGATGCCGAAGAAGGTGCTGGACGTGGGGTCCCGTGCGACCTCCGACCTGGCCGCCGAGATACTCCGTGCGATGGAGTCCCGCACCAACTACAGCAAGCAGCAGCAGCAGCTGGTCGACGGCATCAGGACGAATCTGAAGACGAAGAAGGTGAAAGATGTCGCCGCAGAGCTCCTGATGCTGGGACTCACCACCAACAAGAGGTCCACCACCAACAAGAGGTCCACCACCAACAAGAGGTCCACCAAGGGTGACACAAGCAGCCCAGAGTCCGACGACCTCTACTCCGACGAGACGTGGGGAGAGGGAACTAGATGGTGGACAGAGTGAGGCGACAGGCCAAATGGGGGCGCCCCATGTGGGCGGCTAGGGGCGCCATACGAGGGCCCCCTAGAGGTGGTGGCTTACGGGCGCGACCACCACCCCACGGTGAGCTTGGCCGGTCGCATGAGTTTCGTCGTTGTGGCCCCCGCCCGC